TCTGAACGGGATCAGGTGGCGAGCTTCATCACCTACAACGAGGGCTTTCTGGGGATCGAGGCTCATTTCGCCTAGTGAAAGAGGCTGTATTTTGTGAAGGCATACATGTGTCAGGATGATATCAAGTTGGGGGAGTCGGCATCTCAGTTTGGGTAATGCCGGGGTTGAGGTGGCCAAGGTTTCCACCGTCTCGTCCAACAAGGGTGGCACCATAACTGGTTCTACTATTCCAATCCTAACCCTGCGTTACTGGCCTTCAACGCCCAATATGCGCTATACAACGATGTCCGGGCAGCCCGACCTACTCCCGAGGAGCAGATAGTAGCGAAGTTTTTGGGGAAACACATAACCATGCTCCACGAGGCGCCCTTAGGGAGACTGTGGTGGCGACATTCATCGGACATCGAGTTCAGCCCATCAAACTGAGGTGCTGCCCTATGTGATTGTACACAGGCTTGGGGGATCCAACCTGGGAGGCGCCAGACGAGCTCAGGGGAAGGAGATGCACAGACGGGCGGTCAAACTAGTGAAGTCCAAGGTCGTTGACCTGATGGGTCGGCCTGCTGTCCTCAGGCATCCCGACCAGCCGGATGAGGTAAGTGCGCTATCCTTGGGGCCCCCAACCCTTTTCCCTTTCACGCCTCATTTGTCGTTTTTGGTGGCTTTGCAGGAGGTGGCCTCCTTTGTCTCCCGACATCCCCTTCCCGTGGACTAGGCATGACGTTGGGTGGCTGCCCTGCCCAAGCTCCCGTGCCAGCTCCTGGTCCGGCCAGTACTTTAAGCGCTAGTGGTTTGAATTTGGGCATGGGGCAGGCATCGAACGGCTCCTCCCATTCAGGGAAGAGGAAAACGCCCGGGAGCATCTCCTCTGGGGTCGATGCAGCGGGTGACACCTTTGGGAAGCAGAAGTTGCCAGCAGCCACTGAGGAGGGGGGAGAGCTTCCGAGGTGATCATCGGGAGGAAGAGGAGGAAAACCGCCCAGACGACTGTCAAGAAGGGAGGTGTCCAAGCCGGCCCTCAAGGGACGACGTGTGACTCACCACAGGAGGGACTGTTGCTTTTCCCACATGGGAGTCCCCTTGTGAGGACCTTAAATTTGGGAATTCTCCATGTCGTCACTGCCCAGGAGGGAGTTGTTGCAGCTCCAAATTGCCTTGGGGGCAAATATTCATCTTCTTCTAGGGGTCTTGATATCACGCTGTTGGAGGGGGACTCGAGGTTGGCGCCTATTGGTTGTGCGTCTGGTACTCCCACTCCAACTTCAGTGAAAGTTGTGTCTCGGGATTTGAACCCCGAGCCGAGCATCCTGGACGCAGAGCTGCGGGAGCAGGTTGAAGAGCGGTCGCCCGGCTCCCTGGCTGCTGGAAGGTATGATGAGGAATCTTCATGTGGCGGGAGCCTGAATATCCTCCTTTTGTCCGATGTGAGTTCTCCTTCCAGCAACTTTTCTCAAATGATGCTTGTACAAGGTGCAACCCCCCTCCAGCCTATGCTTTGTTGGAATACTAGTTCTGGGTCGCATGGCAGCGTTTCTGGTTTGGCTGCCATGGCAGCCGTTTTCGCTGCGACGACAACGTTTTCAGTTTGTTAGCGTTTTGGCCCATTTCTGTTTAGAGTCAACACCACGGGACGCGTTTTTGCATGATTCATGGCTAGTTTGTAGGGCGCCGTGGGCTTGTGCTAGGTCGTGGGATGGCATGATCCAGTCGCAGTGCGTGGGCGCGGCATGACTTGCGTTCGTTGAGAAATAAAAGGAGGAGAAACAGAAAAGCAACAATACTTACGCTGCGCAAATCTCTCTCTTTCTCTCATGAGCTGAATTTCATCTTAGAGAGGCAACAGGTGGCATCAAAGCCATGTCGGGTACTTCGGCGGCCAGCTATCGGTCACGTACGCCCCTGCGCCTCCACGTGGCGTTGCAGGAGCGGAGCCAGCGTAGAACCTGCGGCGGCAGCGGTGGTGCAGTAGGCGACCTCCGGCGGCGCCCTCCCGATGCTGACACGCACCAACTATGCGGAGTGGGCGCTGCTGATGAAGGTTTACCTTCAAGCACATGGCTGGTGGGAGGCTGTGTCCATTGGGAACGCCTCCTACCACGACGAGCACAATGCCATGATCACCATTTCGCGAGACGTGCTGAACGCCGTTGACAAGGAGAACGCCAAGGCTGCGTGGGATGCCATCGCCATGCAGCGCATGGGCGCCAGCTGGGTGCGCAAGGCGACACACATAAGCTGCGGCATGACTTCGGGGGCATCTCCTTCCGTGATGGCGAGACCATCGACGACTTCTCGATGCGGCTCTCCGAGATCGTCACCAATTTGCGCGCGCTCGACGACACGCTGGAGGAGTCCAAGGTAGTAGCCAAGTTCCTCCGTGTTGTGCCATCCCAATTCGCACAGGTCGCCATTGCCATTGAGACACTGCTCGACGTGAGCACGTTCCTCTGGACGAAGTCACCCGGCAGCTTCGCGTGGTCGAAGACCGTCTGAACGACATCCACGGCAGCAACAACGGTTAGGGTGGCCGCCTGCTTCTCACGAAGGAGTGGGAGGCCCGGAAGTAGCAACCCCAAGGCAACAACAGCTCTTACTTTGGTGGGCGGAACAACCGCCAGAGGGGCGGTGCCCGCGGAGGTGGACGCTAGAACGGCCATGACCACAAGAGCGGCGGCGACAAAGACAAATGCCGCTACTGTAGCATAAAGGGCCATTGGGCCCGTGAATTCAGGAAAAAGAAGAGGGAGGAGGCACTCCTTGCTCGAGCCGACAAGGAGGCTGATCCGGACTTGCTGCTGGCCGAGGTCGTGGAGATCTCTGCCACGGCTGCGAATTTTGCTGCCATGGTAGCGGTTTCGCACCCTCCCATAGATGCAGCGGAAAACGCTGCCATGTTAGCGAATTGGTTGCCACGGCAGCAATTCCAGTCTCGCCATGGCAGCGGATCTGAGCCCCTGCGAGCAAACGCGCCCCGTGATCTTTCTCAATGAAGAGAAGGCAAATGTCGTCCCGGCCGGCGGCGACGAGCCTCAGGACACGGCGTGGTACCTTGACACCGGCGTGTCAAATCGCATGACAGGTGATCTCGCAGTCTTCACCGAGCTTGACATGGGGATCGTTGGAACCGTGCGTTTCGGTGATAGATCCGTGGTGCACATTGAGGGGCGTGACACCGTTGCGTTCTCCATCGACGGTGCCACTGCAAGGTCTATGCATTAGTAGTGGGGCTTATGGGAGCCAATCAAGCAGTCGTACTATTGGAATTACAGGTCGGCAATGAGAATAGCATAGTAGACGATGCTGCGCACCACTCTGCTGGTGCAGTGCCAGGCTATGTTGTCACAATCACAACAATGTGCCCGTTGACTGCTTCGTGTGGCAAATGCCGTCGAATCACATCTCGATCACTGCCTCACCTTACGTAGTTACTCCTGGGCTGCTGCCTTGTCGCTTAGCCACACTGGCTCGCACGTTGACACTGGGACCTTTGCCATATGTGGGTGCCTTGCCTAGTTTGTGCCACCATTTTATGGAGTCTTGAGTCTTGAGCGGTTCATTCACCCTGCTGCCATGTCACATGTGCGTCTGTTGTTGCCCAACTCATCAATTTGGCTATCAATGCAACTGTGCTGTTTGGTCCTTGTTGCAAGCTCTGTTGCAGCATCTTTGGGGCCATTGTGCATACATGCTTAGGCTGGAGATTACCCCCCTGTAAAATGAGAAAATCTAAAATTTAACTCAGTCAGAACCTTCTTGACCTCGGCTAGTTGGCATTTTGAACCAGGTTTTACAAATGCTGCTTCATAATTATAAAAGGTATTCTAAATGTGCAATTTCCGACCAAGTTTTACAAATGCAGTGTCATGACTAGAATACTTATATGCAAGTAATGGAACCATTGGCTTATTCAGTACAAGCCATTTAAAAGTACTCCCTCCGTTCCATATTACTCGTCACTGATTTAGTACAAAGTTGTACTAAACCAGCGATGAGTAATATGGAGCGGAGGGAGTAACTCTTAGCATTCCGGGTTGGACAAATGGCACAAAACCAATTGCCCCACATTACACTATAAAATTGTGTAATAGCTTTATATGTGGCATTTACATTTACTTTTCATTGCTTAGACCTTCTACCTGTAGCTATGCAGTAATGCCAGAATTAAGTTGTTTCTATGACATAAGTTCCTCTCTGTGCTGCAATCTAATGCCAGGCAAATCCTTTTATCGTCGTTTCCTTTCCGGTCTGGAAGAAATTTTGGAGGATTCCTACGGGATTTTCTTCATATGTTTAGCAATCGTTTCATAGGAATAGAGGTACTTGATTCCTTAGGATTGTGTCCGTCCATATTGACCTGCTTCCTTAGGATTCTTAGTATTTGGTAAGACCTCATCGGAAGTTCCTAAGGATTGGAGAGCACGGTAATCCTGGCGAGTAGGATCCAGAGGAACGCAGGCAGAAGTACTGCCTCCTTGATTGGGTCGCACATGTCAACTGGTTTTTCAGAGACCTAAAAGGGCGAAGCCCTGGGTAGGGCATCTTAATCCTTTACTTTTTCTATTCCTCTGATTTGAAAATCTTGTAAAACTGAAGTAGCCCTTCATCTGTACACAGATTATTTCCATTTCTTAAGCAAAAGATACATTTCTGCATATTCTCAAAATTAAGTACTGTTTGTTCGATTTTTGAGTTCCAGCTACGTGGTACTCCCTCCGTAACTTAATTCAAGACATTTTTTGACACCGTGACAGTGTGAAAAAACGTCTTATATAAGTTACAGAGGGAGTATCTTTTTGTTATAGGAATCAAGTAAGATAGTAGGCTTCACAAATGATTTACATGTAGTGTGCTTCATTCCTCGTAAGAACATTTAATTTCAGCTTTGCTGTTCTATATATTTGAAACTGCCTTTTTGTCAGCATTTTTGGTTTGTTCTGAATGATCTTGGCATGATGGTTCCTGGTTGGTGTTTTTACTTATGGTTTCTATTTATACACCAGTGGTTTCATAGGTATTTATGATGTTCCCCACTTCATCAAGACATTAAAATATGATGTCCGTATTGCTATGAGCGTTCCAGATATCATTACAAACGGAAAAACTAAGAAGCTGAAAGCCTACCAGGTGAAAGAAAAGCTCACTAGTTTCAGTTATACGAGTGAATAACTCCAGAGACTAATATGTGTTGCTAACAGATCCGGCCACCGAGAGATGCACCGGTAACTTGGTATACGACAGTTGCTTTAGAGAAGATGAAGAGTTATGGGGCTATCTATTTAACTCCATTTTCACATCGCTTGGCAGAAGATATAAATGATCCAGAGATCCAGAGACTTCGATGCCGGGTGAATTATCATGCATTACGATTCAAGCCAAACATCATGAAAACAAGCAGTGAGATAGTGAATAAGCTCCGCTCAGAAGGCCATTTCATGTCGATTCATCTTCGGTTTGAGATGGATATGCTTGCTTTTGCTGGGTAGAACATTGACTGACCACACTGTGTGATTACATGATTCAGTCATTCACATTTATAATAGTCAGTTTGTTATTCACTTGTCATCATATTTGCTTTGCTATGCATCCAGAAATGGAGAAGCGCATCTATGTATTCTTTATTTCAGTTCATTGTAGGCTACAGAAAAGCTAACAAGAGCATCGTAGAGCCTTAGATATCAATAACATTACTCAACTTTTCATCAAATTTTTGAAATGATGTCATTAACCAAACTAGCAAAGTGCCTGTGGCTTGCACTGGACCCATAATAAATCAATGTGCTCGCAAATCTGAAAAACAGTTCAATAGTTATACCATCTAACTTAGGCTTCATCCTGATTTGGGTTGTGTAACAATCCTCTTAAAATAAAATAAAAACACAGCACTTCGATTGTGGGCTAGTTTAATAAATACCGTTTGATTTCTTTGTTATACCCTTTGTGTATATGGATTAGATGGTAAGAAGCTAGAACCCTCTTGATAAGGTTCGGAGTTTGACTCCGCTGCTGCCTCAGTAGTTTATTTCTGCCTTATTTTGGCAAAAAGATCCCACATGTGACAGTAGAGAAGTGTGGGTGAATCTGCCACCAACTCAAAACCTTTAGAAGGAAGATAGGAAATGATAAACTCAAATCATTGATATTCTGTATCATGGTCATTTGTGCTCTCTTGTACTAGAACTTTGGGATGCATTTATATTGTTTGGTTCATTTTTATAGTTCTACAGATGATCAGCTTGTATTTTTACTAGAGACAAGCTATGCTACACAGGGATGTGGTTACCGGGAGAAAAAACCGGTTACCGGGAATCTCGTTACCCATGAGAAATCGCCTTACCGAGTGAAAAATCCCGAATTTCAAACTCAATAAATTTTGACTGAATTTTGTTCAGATCCAAAATTCATTAAAAAAAGCCTCCGGTAACGGCCTGTATTTTCTGGTTACCGCGGTAACCGGAAATCTTGGTGCCCCATGAGATTTTTTAGCATTTGGAATCCAAAACCTTGATGCTACATTGCTGGTAACAAAGATTTGATAAATGCAGTTGTTATTTTGCATATCTTCATTTTACATTGCTGGCCATGGCTTATTTTCTACATGAAAAATGCAGGTGCATTGATATATTTACACCTCAGGAACAGAAAATTCTGATCAAGTACCGCAAGGAAAATTTTGCAGAAAAAGAACTTGTCTATAGGGAAAGACGGCTCATTGGAAAGTGCCCTTTAACTCCAGAAGAGGTAATGAATCTTTGTAGATACATTGCTCTGGATATTTCTGTAGTGGTACTCAAATATTCAACTATGTTCTGAAATTAGGAGTTACTCCCTCCATTCCAAAATAAGTGTTGTGCTTTTAGTTCAAATTTGAACTAAAACCGTGTCACTTATTTTGGAACGGAGGGAGTACTTGTAAACTGGAATACCAAATTGAAGGCCAACTGAGTAAATTTTATCCTTCACAGCATAACGATTGTTCTGGACCAGAAGTCTATCCAGAACTATGAGTAAATTTAGTGATTTCGACACTGCCCGACTAGTATATCCAAAGCTACAACCAAATATTATTGCTATTTAGTGCACATACCTTACCTGCCAGAGTGTCACTTTCTGGCTACAACCAAATATTGCAGTTTGTTTACTTCGCTAATTATTATTTTGATTGTTGAATGTTCTTTTTAAAAGTCCACTTCAGCTTTCAGCCCTCAACTGCATTCTGAGTTGGAAACTTGAACTATATAAATTGTCCTCTGTACAACCTTAGGTGGTTTTACGATTTGTTTTTATTTATTTTGAAAAGGTGTATTACTTAGGAAGAAATAATTTGGTATACAATCGTGCAACACCGCCGTGGACACGCAGGTTGGGACAGAGCCTTGCAGAACGCCCGCCCCCACACGACACACTGCACCCATATTGAGCAAGCTCATGGGCAGTCCTGTTATAGACAGGAGGAAGGAAGTGTTGGAACTGTGTCGAATAATTGTACAAGGCAGGTTACAGTTGGACTTGGATTCAAGCTGTGTGTAGATAGGGTACAGAGACATGTTCGAGTAGGACACTTGTATCCTAGGCCTCTTATATAATGTCGGGGTAGACACATATATAATCTATGCCAACATAATAGCATAGGCATGCAGGGGGAGCCAGCGGCATGTGATGGCCCCCGGGTGGCCGGTGTGTGGTCTTGTAGCGGTGGGAGGAGTGCTCATAGTCAGGCCCTAGGGATGTAGCCGATATTCGGTGAACCTCATTAACAAATTTCGGTCGTGCCTTGTGTGATTGCTTGGTCCTCGGTAGATCGACTACACGCCTTCGATTATTCTAACAAGTGGTATCATGAGCAAGGTTCAAGGAGATCACGGATTGTTGATCTAGAGGAAGGGTGCCAATTTCGTATGATTCACGTGGTAGCAGGAGCGAAGATCAGATCGGGTTCGGAGGCGATGAGTTTGAGACTGCACGCGATGTGGCTATCAAGGTATGGGCATGATGAAGCAATTGGAATGCGAAGACGTGCAGCAGCAGAGGACCTCATCGTGGGTGATCTTGGCGAGATTGATTCGATTGGCAGAACTCAGTGGTGGCTGCGAACGATTTTACGTGGCATGTGGCAGGGGCACGTGCACGTGCGCATGCGCGTGGGTAGCAGTAGAAGACCTAAGCGTATAGCTACTGGAGGCTCGAGTGAGGCGGGTTGGTCTCAAGAGGGGCTGGCTGGTGCGCTGTGGGATGGCGGAAGCAGCTGCTGACGGAAGCCTAGGTAGAGAGCTGCTATGAAGGTCAAAACCTAGGTGGGGAGTGGTGCTGCCACGGCAAGATGCACAATATGAGATTTGGTTAAGAAATAAAATCGGTTCTGGAAGGTGTTGCAGCGCGTTCGAACATGGGATTCGCTGGCTGCTAGCATGTTTATCTCGAGCGTGGAAAAAAAGAGAATAAGAAAATTAGTCAGGAAGTCACGAGGTGCTACAGGTGTGGAACTGATAGTAATGGAATTGCTTGGACTACTTCTGTTTTTTTGCTTCGTACGCCAAGGGGATGGCAGCATGGCAGCAGTGGTGTTGTTCGGCTAGCAGTCAAACGGGAACCGAGGATGGCGACGTGTGTATAAGGCTCAGAGGAGTCTGGAGCGCGTCGTGGCAGGAATGCAGGATCATGCACAGTGGCGGAGCTTCAACCACTTCTTTGGGAGGGCCAAAACAGGTCTGGTTAGGAAATACCATTGAACTTTCGCTTTCAGGGCCCAGATACAATACCAGTCTTCACTGAATTCCTGATGGGCTCGGTGGGCCATGACCTGGTTTGGTCCACCCGTAGCTCTGCCCTTGATCATGCATACACAGAGGGCTTGTGCGGTTTCACATGAGACTCGACCGGGAGGATGGTTGACATGATGTAGGCTGGAGCATGGTTGCAGTCAGATAAGTTCGGCTTGGTCGGATTATACAGTCTGATGGATCAACGTGAGTCCATCAGTATAGAAAACGGCGGTGATTTCAGCGACGATGACATATGAGGGTGATGCTGATAGTGACCGACATGGGGTGTGAAAACACGTGGTGCGGACCCGAGGGCTTGTGCTGCTTCGACAAGACTATGGCTATGGCACAGGGTTGATTGAAGACAGCGTACGGATGGGAACTTAAAGTCGACGGGGCGCGGGGTAGCATGGCCAGCTACATGGAGTCATGCTGAAGGTGGAGTTGGAGTGTGATGGAAGACTTCATTTGGTGCTGATGGAGGGGCTACGGTGTAAGGATATCGAGAATCGAAGCCTATTTCAGTGGGTAAAGTGAGATACGTGGTTCGGACTAGGTCCCAGTGGTCTGATGGAAACGTGGTACTCAAAATTTGTTGGTGATCATCGGTGGTTCTCTGCAGTGGTGGTTGAGGTGGTGTGGGCTAGCTACCCAGGAGACTCAACGGAGACATGGTATAATGTCAAATCAAATGTACATGAGGTTCGACGCATGGATGAATCTATGATGGTGGAGAATATTTGTCAAGGTGTATTTTGCTGGAATTGTGTCAAATACTTGTATAAGGTAGGTTACAGTTGGATCTGGATTCAAATCGTGTGTAGATAAGGTACAAATAAGGTACGGATACGTGTTCGAGTAGGACACTTGTATTATAGGCCTCTTATATAATGTGGGGATAGACACACGATGTAACGTATGCCACAACATAATAGCAGGGGCGCGCAGAAGAGCTGACCCCTGGGTGGCCGGCGTGCGGTATTGTCGTGGTATCATGGAGAGGAGCGCTCATAGTCAGGCTCCTGGGATGTAGCCGATGTTCGGTGAGCCTCGTTAACAAATCTCAATATTGTGTCTTGTGTGATTGCTTGGGTCCTTGGTAGATCAACTACGCTCCTTAGATTATTCTAAGAGGAACCAATGCCGTACTTGCCGCAGTAGAACGACGTTGTTGAACGCGGAACCAAACAATGGTCGGGGCGTGCAACATGATGAAGGCGAACGGCATGCCGGACTACTAGAGGAAGGCAATGACCACCATGTACATCTTCAACCATGCGCACACCCGGAGCATCGAGGCGATGACGCCCTACGAGGCCTGGCACAACAAGAAGCCTGAGGTCGAACACCTGTGCGTCTTTGGTTGCGTCGCGCACGTCAAGACGGTGCGACCAAATCTCAAGAAGCTGGACAACCGAAGAATGCCCATGGTGTTCATCGGGTACGAGCGGGGCTCCAAAGCTTATCGGGTGTGTATTACCCCACCAGCCGCCGTCTATACGTCTCTTGTGGCGTGGTTTTTGACAAGGATGTGAGCTGGAGCTGGGGTCAGGAGGCGGACCACCTTGGTGGCACCTTTACCATTGACCTCATCGTGCATGTAGGGGCGACGGCAGCGTCAGTCGAAAACGCTGCCATGATAGCACCAGGACCATCTGCGGCAGTGGGCGAAAACCCTGCCATGGCAGCCACCCCAGCGGTGCTTCCCCAACACCTAGGAACGCTGCCATGGCAGCCAACACCCTAGAGCCTGCTGGCGTGCCGGCGTGCAGGAAGTGGAGTTCGTGCCACTGTACGCCACTGTATGGCCTGACGGTGCGCAGCGATGCCAACGACCCCGACGCCGTGCACTGGTGTCGCCGCGTCACTGATCTGCTTGATCAGGGTGCGACTAACCCAGGAGAGGCGGAGCGCCGCCTTTTGATGTCGGAGGGCGAGCTGGCGAATTTTCCCGACGCCGAGCCCCATGCTGCTTGGCGGGCCATGGTGATGGACGAGATGGCGCCCATTGAATCTGACAGGACTTGGTCCCTCTCTGATCTTCCTGTAGGTCACCGACCCATTGGTCTGAAGTGGGTGTTCAAGGAGAAAAAAGAACACCGTCGGCGAGATGATCAAGCACAAGGCTCGGCTTGTCGCAAAGGGCTACGTGCAGCGCGCCGACATCGATTTCAAGGTGTTTGCACCAGTTGCTCGCCTTGACTCTGTGCGCGTGCTGCTCGCTGTCGCCTCCTAGGAGGCCTGGGATGTGCAGCATCATGACGTCAAGTCCGCGTTCCTCAAGAGCAAACTTGATGAGGTGTATGTGGTGCAGCTTTCTGGATTCGTGTGCGATGGTGCCAAGAGCAAGGTGCTCAGCCTGCACAAAGCCCTCTACAGTCTTTGTCAGCCACCATACGCCTGGAACACGGAGCTTGATAGCAGCCTCGCTGCATTCGGCTTTGACAAGTGCCCATCAGAGCATGCGGTGTACATGCGTAGCGCTGTAGGTGAGCGCCTCCTCGTCGGAGTGTACGTCGACGACTTGATTGTCACCGGCGGCGATCAATGGCTTCAAGTGGGAGATGATGGCACTCTTCAATATGAGCAACCTGGTCCTACTGAGCTACTACCTTGGGATCAAGGTTATACAGTGCCCGGAGTGCAGCCTCGTCAGGCAAGCTGCTGGAGATGGCCGGCATGGGAGATTGCAACTCCTCCACTGCCCATGCAGCCGCGTCTAAAGCTTAGAAAGGCGGGTGTTGGCGAGCCCGTGGACGTGCCCATTGCCACAAGCATAGTGGACAGTCTACGCTATCTCATCCACACAAGGCCTTGCATAGCCTACACCTTAGGCTACATCAGCCGCTTCATGAAGACGCCGGCGAGCGAGCACTGGGCGGCGGTGAAACAATTGATGCGGTACATTGCCGACACACGTCAGCTCAGATGCCGCTATTCATGGCAGCAGCACGGCACAAGGCTTGTTAGTTACAACGATAACGATCTGGCGGACGACGTCGACAATCGAAAGAGCACAAGAGGCACCATCTTCTTCCTCAGAAGGTGCCCTATGTCCTTGAAATTGGCAAATCACAAAATAGTGGTGCTCTCATCTTGCTAGGTGGAGAGGCGGAGTACGTTGCCCTGGCGGGCGTGGCATGCCAGGGTATCTGATAGGTGAGCTGCTCGGGCGCCAGGACGGTGCCGTCGAGCTCTGCATCGACAACAAGTCAGCCATTGCGCTGAGCAAGAATAATGTCTTCTATGACAGGAGCAAACATATCAAGCTCCGCTACCATTTCCTTCTCCAGTGTGTTGATGACAGGCAACATTGACATTCAGTATGTGCGCACTGACGATCAGCTCGCCGACGTTCTGATGAAGGCTTTGAGACGTGCCATTTTCAGGAGCCGTGCAACCGCATCGGCATTGTGAGTGCTGAATAAGTAGATTAGGGGGAGTTTGTTGGCTAATCTTGTTATTTCTTCAGCTTGTTAGTTTTAGCCGTAGCTAGTTTTCAGCTAAATTAGTCTTTGCACGACATGCACTTGTAAACCGATCGCCTGGGACGTGGGATGGCACGGCTCGTGTAGGGCATCGTGGGCACATGCCACAATCGTTTTCAGTTGAATAGAAGCAGAAGAACGCCGGCAGAAAAGCTGCAAGTTCATAGCACACAACTCTCTCGCTTGCTGTGTTCATTGCCACTATCGGCTACATGTATAAGGTCTTTAACTCAGGCAGTCTGGAGCGGCCCCTCGGACCTTTAGGTTCCTTCTTTGAATCCAGTTATCTCTCCATATACGGATCTTCTCTCCTGTGTGCACATGCTAAATGACACCTTGCTTTAGCAGCTCCAAATCATGAACGATCCCTTGCCAACAAGCCGAAGCATTCCGACTAAAAGAAGAATCAACAAGATCGCCTAAAGGGTAATAGTTCGCTTTGAGTAGCTGAGCACACAAACTTTTGGGTATGCGATAAGGCGTCAGGCTTGTCTCGCAAGAAGTGCTTGATTAAACAGTCTCAGGCCCCTAAAGCCCATGCCACTTTCAAGCTTTGGTCAAACAATTTTGTCCCAAGCCATCCAATGTACCTTCCTTCTATCTGTCTCCTCAACCCACCCGAATTTCCGGGTAATTTGCGATATCACACAGCCCTGCCGAAAACTTGAAAATGTTGTTGCATAAGTTGGGATTGTTTGCAACATGGATTGATAAGAACTTCCTTAGCACCATCAGAGAGGTACTTCTCACTCCAATCCAAACATCTTTCGCTAAACTTGTCCTTGATGTATCGGAGGGCCCAAGTATTTCTCTTTGAAACCAACTGTTGTGATATCAAGACTTGACTGGTGTCAGACTGTCGATGCTATTTGTTTGCCACATCATCAAACAGGGAAAGATATAGATAGATGGTGAAATATGGCACGGGTGAAGTGAGAGCTTACTGTGGTAACACAAACCTTACCCGTTCCGTCAGTGCGAAGTGGTTTGTTTGATGACATGACATGACAGACATGCACTATCTATGTCAGCCAAAATCACTTGTATTGCCACCCGAGGTTGCGAAGTAGACGGTTTTGATACTTTGAGGTTGCAACTCCTATGGTTTTAGGGTTCAGGGTTGAAAAGTGGACCATTCTTTAGTCTAATATATAGCTGGCTTGACAGAAAGCTTGGGCACAATTCCTATTCTGTACCTCCACCTTAATCTTTGTGGAGTTTATCCTTCCTCTGAAAGTAAGAACAAGGGAATGTTCAGAGTTGTACTAATTACCGTGGAATTAAGCTGATGAGCCATACAATGAAGCTATGGGAGAGAGTCATTGAGCACCGCTTTAGAAGAATGACAAGGGTGACCAAAAATCAGTTTGGGTTCATGCCTGGGAGGTCGATCATGGAAGCCATTTTCTTGGTACAACAATTTATGGAGAGATATAGGAAGCAAAAGAAGGACTTGCATATGATGTTCACTGACTTGGAGAAGGCCTATGATAAGATATACCACGAAATGTCATGTGGTGGGCCTTGGAGAAACACAAAGTCCGAGCAAAGTACATTATCCTCATCAAAAAGGACATGTACGATAATGTTGTGACAAGTGTTCGAACAAATGATGTCGACACTGATGACTTCCCAATTAAGATAGGACTGCATCAGGGGTCAACTTTGAGCCCTTATCTTTTTGCATTGGTGATGGATGAGGTCACAAGGGATATACAAGGAGATATCCCACGGTGTATGCTCTTTGTGGATGATGTGGTGCTAGTTGACGATAGTCAGACGGGGGTAAATAGGAAGTTAGAGTTATGAAGACAAACCTTGGAATCGAAAGGGTTTAGGCTTAGTAGAACTAAAATCAAGTACATGATGTGCGGTTTCAGTACTACTAGGTGTGAGGAGGAGGAGGTTAGCCTTGATGGCCAGGTGGTACCTCAGAAGGACACCTTTCGATATTTGGGATCAATGCTGTAGGAGGATGGGGGTATTGATGAAGATGTGAACCATCGAATCAAAGTCGGATGGATGAAGTGGCGCCAAGCTTCTGGCATTCTCTGTGACAAGAGAGTGCCACAAAAGCTAAAAGGCAAGTTCTACAGGACGGCGGTTCGACCCGCAATGTTATATGGCGCTGAGTGTTGACCGACTAAAAGGCGACATGTTCAATAGTTAGGTGTGATGGAGATGCGTATGTTGAGATGGATGTGTGACCATACGAGGAAGGATCGAGTCCGGAATGATGATATACGAGATAGAGTTGGGGTAGCACCAATTGAAGAGAAGCTTGTCCAACATCGTCTGAGATGGTTTGTGCTTATTCACAGCAGGCCTTCAGAAGCCTCAGTGCATAGCGGACGGCTAAAATATGCGGAGAATGTCAAGAGAGGGCGGGGTAGACCAAATTTGATATGGGAGGAGTCCGTTAAGAGAGACCTGAAGGATTGGAGTATCACCAAAGAGCTAGCTATGGACAAGGGTGTGTGGAAGCTTGCTATCCATGAGCAGTTGGTTGCAAGATTTTATGGGTTTCACCTCTAGCCTATCCCAACTTGTTTAGGACTAATGGCTTTGTTGTTGTTGTTGTTGTTGTTGTTGCTGCTGCTGTTGTTGTTTGTTTTTTTTGAAAGCAAGATCCATATACTCTGATCTGCACCACTTTTTGACTGTTCTAGTCTATCTTGAAATATCAAATCTGGGTGCCCACTGTACACCCGTGTTCAGTTTGGTGAGGAATGGATGCGTAATCTAGGTAAAAAAGTTAAAAAAAAATTTTATGTATGGGAAAAAAATTTGAATGGACCGTACTTTCTTCGCCACGGATATCACGGGCACCCATTCCCCACGAAACTGAATGCGGGTGTACAATGAGCACCTAGTTTGATATCCCAAAATTTCAGAATTTTTTGAATTTTTCTGATTTTTTTTAATACTGTATTCATATAGGGGTGTGTGGCACCCGAGAGCTGCGATGCATTTTTCCTTGCACGCCATATACTATCATGTTGTAAATGGGACATTTTGATGGACTAAGATTAATTATAGGAAGGAAAGTTTGAAGCATACGCAGGAAAACAGTATATGCTTGGTAAAAATTTCAAAATTGTTCATAGACATTAAAATATGTACATTTCATAGCTGAACTTCTTGGTTGAAGAAAACTTCACATGGCTAATTCAAATACGCATTAATGTTGTTGTGCAGGTAGGTCTTATTCTTCGTGCACTGGGCTTTGATAATACAACACACATTTACCTTGCTTCTGGAGAGCTCTTTGGTGGGAAACGCTTCATGAGGCCCTTCAAGGATATGTTTTCGCGCCTAGAAAACCATAGCTCCGTTGGACCTGGAAAGCTGGAAGAAAATACCCGTGGACTGGCAGGTTCTGCAGTTGATTACATGGTCTGTCTCCTATCAGACATTTTTATGCCCACATATGATGGCCCAAGCAACTTTGCAAACAACCTCATTGGTCACCGCCTATACTATGGTTTCCGTACCAACATCACGCCAAACAGGAAGGCCCTTGCTCCAATATTCATGGACAGGGAAGTAGGCTTGACAGCTGGTTTTGAGGAGCGAGTGAGGCAGGTCATGACAAAGACATATGTTGGTGGCCCCCATAAGCGCATTCATCCCGAACCTTTCTATACAAACTCATGGCCAGAGTGCTTTTGCCAGGAGAACCCTAGGAATCATGCAGACAAATGCCCACCAGACAATATATATGAGGTTCTGGAGAATCAATTTAGGAGTGAAGAGAATGAAGAAAGTATAGAAGTGAAAGCCACTAGTCAGATTGATTCAACCAGCCAAACCGAAGAGACTGTGATTTAACTGAGGAACCAAACTGTTATTGTCTCAGAGGACGAGACTGGATCATTTATGCCCGTAGCAGATTATTGCATTTTCGAATGGATCGACTATCGAAGGTACGGCCAGGCCTAATAAACTGGGATGGAGGTAGTATTTCATCACAAAAAATTACACATGTAGTGTACATCCATATGAGCATCTAGTTTTTTTTTGGAACTTCAGAATACCATTTTGGCACTATTGAAAATATAGTGCTCACTGGAGCGGGTGCACCAAAGTGTTCTTTTGTTGTCTCTCAGTTTCTCGTTTCTGCGATTATTACTAGCTTGGTGTTTTTGTTGAAGTTGTGTCGAATATAGTGTACAAGGTAGGTTATAGTTGGACTTGTAGTTGTATTGTGTTTATATAGGATATAGAGTCGTGTCCTAATAGGACACTTGTATCCTAGGCCTCTCTTTTATATAGCGGGGGTAGACACACGATGTAACCTATGTCAACATAATAGCGACACACGATGTAACCTATGCTAACATAATAGCACTGGAACGCAGGGGAAGCCGGCGGTATGTGCCGGTGTCCAGGGTGACCGGGTGCGGTATTGTAGCGGTGTCATGAGGAGGAGCGCCCATAGTCAGGCCCCGGGAATGTAGCCATATCGGTGAACCTCGTTAACAAATATCGGTGTCGTGCTCGTGTGATTGCTTAGTCCTTGGATGATCGACGGTATGCCTCGATTTATTCTAACAAGTGGCATCATGAGCTAGGTTGTTCGGAGGCGGCAAGAGTTGATCTAGAGGAGGAAGAATATCGATAGAAATTTGCATGATGCGGTCGTGATGCGGGACGAAGGACGTCGGCGAGTTGTGATCTAAAGCAGAGTTGGTCGAGTTGTAATCTTCAGTGAAGCAATTGGAAGCGGGCAAAGTTCTTGACGGAAGATACGTGTGCGAGGACGTGCGGCGATCACGAATCAATCGGGCGAGCGTACAGTCAGCAGCGGCGGCGCACCGCGCACGGGCAGGCAGGCAGCAGATCGGTCGATCGATGGCTACGGAAACCCGCGTGGGCAGCGGCCCAGGTGGCGGAAAGCCGCACGGCTGGAGCGGTGGAGTCACGTACACGTACTGGCCAAAGCGACGAATCAGGTCGGGTACAGCAGGCGAGAACAGTCAGACAGAGATTTGTTTTGAAAAGAAGGGACCGAGTCCGGAAGGGACCTTGTCTCCGTGACGAATACGAGGCAGCCGGATTGATTCAAGCGAAGGGAAAAATCCATCAGATTATTCATTGAAATAGCAGGAGCTTTGGCAAAGCAAGGCAACAGCCAGCATTGTAATTAGTGCTAAGGGAGCTGCCCATCGCGTGAATACCAGGAGGTCTTTTTTTGGCTGGAGTTGTGCACAGAAGTGCCTGTGTACTTCGGCGTCGTGGGGATAGCTCAGGTATTTTTCTCGCAGGGTCAGCCGTATAAAGAAACATGATGTTAATGGGTATCAGGTTTGAGGTGAAGAAGTTTGTGGAACTGAAAACCTTGGGTTATGACAGACACGGATGAAAAATTTATTAGCTCAACAGAGATGCTTGAAGGCGTTGCGGGAAACCAAGTCAGCTAAGATGGAAATTATTATGTGATGGATGGAAATTCGTAGAAGATATCTGGGAGCCTGGGTCGGACTGGATAGTTTGACGGATCGACGTAAGTCGGTTGGTACAGAAGACAGTGGTGGAATCAGCGACGACGACATAGGAGCGTGATACTGATGGTGATCGACTTCTGGGCGTGGAAACATGTGGCACGGGCCTGAGTGCTTGTGTGGCTTCGACAAGGCTATGGCGCGGGGTTGATTCAAGACGGTGCACATGAGAGCTTGGAGTCGACGGGGCGTGGGTGGCACGTACAACCGCCATGAAGTCATGTTGAAGGTGGAGCTGATTGAGGGGATACGACGTAAGAGCTCAGAGAGTCGAAGCCTATTCAGCGGAAAAAGCGAGGGACACGTAATTCAGACTGGAGCTCTGTGGTCTGATGGAAGCGTGAAACTCGTCATCGGTCGATGATGATCGATGGTACTCTGCAGTGGGGGTTGAGTGATGTGGTTTCGCGACCCTTGAGACTCGACCAGAACAACGGAGGCTCGATGCGGTAATAGCGGCGAGGCGTGCGGCGCGCATGGGGCATGAAGACGGGCCAGGGCTCTGGTGGTCATACATGTGATGAGACAACCGCGAATTTGACTCGGGATGACTAAAAGCAATGGTGAAATTCCTTCAAGTTTCAGATAGGCAGTCAAGAAAGGAGCAGTGATGTTGAGTTCAGGTAACTCTTATATGTGACACCAATATGTGAGTTGTTCACTGTCATGCAGGTCAGTGATCAGTGTGTGATGGCGTTGACGAATACTCTGGAAGTTGGGAGCACAAACTAGAGTAACAAAGAACTTAATTTTGCTCGAGTGTTGACCATGGAAAGAAAGAAGGAACTACAAGTTGCAGGTGGAGTCATATGGAGTCTTTGGAGTAGTAGCGGTGCTCACGGGATAAGCTCAAGTCCAATGTACATGGAAGTTTGACGCATTGACGAATTCAAGGTGGTGGAGAATATTCACCAAGGTGGAGTTTGTTGGAGTTGTGTCGAATATAGTGTACAAGGTTGGTTACAGTTGGACTTGTAGTTGTATTGTGTTTATATAGGATATGGAGTCGTGTCTTAGTAGGACACTTGTATCCTAGGCCTCTCTTTTATATAGCGGGGGTAGACACACGATGTAACCTATGCCAATATAATAGCACCGGAACGCAGGGGAAGCCGGCGGCATGTGCCGATGTCCAGGGCGCCCGGGTGCGGTATTGTAGCGGTGTCATGGGGAGGAGCGCCCATAGTCAGGCCCCGGGGATGTAGCCATATCGGTGAACCTCGTTAACAAATCTTGGTGTCGTGCTCGTGTGATTGCTTGGTCCTCGGATGATCGACGGTATGCTTCAGATTTATTTTAACAATTTTGTTGGAGAAATATAATGGAATAAGAGCCCAACTTTACATTACTAATGAAAGCACACCTCCAACCCGGCAGTGGTGAAAGATTGCAAGCTACGTTTCGTGGGATGATGCCCCAACCTTCAGTTTCATTAGAGCATCTCCAGCCGTTCGGCCCTAGGACGCCGAAAAAGAGTCCTCTGGGAGCGAGTCGGTGCTAGATTGGCGCGGGGGGGGGGGACCTAGCTCCCAGTCGTCGATCCACCGGTCGCCCCGGGTACGGCGATGTTGTGTATAAAATACATGCAAACTCGACATTTGCACAAACTCGGTGAAAATACATTCAAATTTGTACATGAAAACATGCAAACTACGACTGAACTACACCTAACCGCCGCCGCCGCTGTCTACATGCCGAGAAGCCTGTAGAAGCGGGTGTAGTCGCCGTCGTCTTCGTTGCACGGCTGGCTTGAGCCGGCGACGTCGCTGCTGCAGCCCCGGCCAGGGTCAGCGAGGCGTGGTGGCGCGCTGGACGGCCCGGCCTCGTCCTCCTCGTTGCTGTCTAGGACGATGACGCCGCCCTCCTCGCGCCCACGGCGCCGGGCCTGGAGCTTCGCGTACGCCCGGCGCTGGCGGCGGACCTTCTCACGGATGTAGTCCTCCTTCGCCCACTTAAGAGCGGACTCGTTGTCGGGGGCTGCCATCTCGACGTGCTCCGGCTTCACCGGGAGCAGCCCCAGATCGGGCTTCGGCCGGACCAGGCAAGGAGGGCCGGGCACCCTCGTTGATGACGAGGGCACCGCTGCGGGTGCGGCGCCCGAGCGGCGTCTCCTCCGGCTCGGGCTTTGACGGAGCGGAGCGCGGCCGGTGAGCCGGAACCCGACGACGAGGACGACCCCGGCTCCATCCGCCGCGGTGTCCAAGAGCTACCACGGCGGCGAGAGAAGGACGGCCGCTGCGGCTACTCGAGGTGCGTCACGTTGCCGGTCTCGATGTGGTCGAGGACGGCCTCGAGGATGCGGTCTGGCACGCCCCACCACTCGCGTCGACCGTCGGTGTTGAAGCGGCCGCGGGGGATGACGCCGTTGGTGGCGGTGATCTGCTCCTCGCGGCGGCGCTGGAAGTACATGGTCCAGAGGGTGTGGCTGTCGGCGGCGTAGCGCGGCTTGTCCCTCTGCACTTGCGTCAGGGAAGAGCGGATGCGGGCGATCTCGGCACGCCGTGCCGCTCCTTCGGGCACCGGTGACACCGGTACGCCACCGGCGCTCAGCCACCACGTCCCCGACACCCGCATGTTCGAGGGCGCTGGGTACTCGGCCTCGTAGAGCAGGCGCGCCTCCTGCTTTTGGAGGTGGCGGCGGCCGAAGTCGTTCGCCGCCGCGCCATTGCCTGGGTACCTCTTGGCCATGTTTCTTGTCGGCGGGAAGATAGGAGTGTTGCTATCTACGCCGGAGAGGAGGAAAATGAGAGCTATGGCGTCCACCAGCGGGAGGTTGCCTTTTATAACCGTAGCGGGGCGGTGACGGGCTGCATGCCAGGCGACGTGTGGCTGGACGTGCGTCGCAGCGCGTTCATTGCGCCGCCCGTGAGAGGCATCAATGGAGGCTGACCGGTGAGGCAGCACGACAGCCTTCGCATTGATTCCCGCGGAAACCGAGGCGATGAGGACGGCGAAGCGGTGTCTTGCTGACTTGACGAGCCCATCCGCTTTCGCGTCAAAACCACTCGCCCTGGTGTTTCCGAGCGTCCCAGCGCGTCGGGTTCGGTTTGGGTATGCCGGCGTCAGTTTTCAGCCCAAATCGATAAAAAAAAAAAGCTCTTAAGGGTGTGATTGGGTCGATTTTTCAACACCAGTGTGGCAAAAACGCTTAAAAAGGGCCTACTAAAGATGCGGCTGAAGATGCTCTTAGTCACCAGGTCTGTTGGGATGATGCCTCAACCATAGGTTCCTTGAGCTGGTACGGCGAGGGCATTGTGTGTCTTCAAAGCTGGCACGCAGAGGGCATTTGCAGATGTCTCTTTCATGTTTTATTTGTTAAGTGCAATT